TTTGTCGGGCTTATTTATCCACGCTCAACTTCTACTTACTTGGTTGTACACAAAGAACGATGGGATTCATTTAGTTTGTCCTAAAAATAAGCCGATATTGTAAAGGTTTACATAAAACTCAATAATTAATATTAGTATAGAAATAGCTGACCACATTGCACAAAAGGGACACGAACTCGAGTGAAAATCGACATAAAGGCTCTCTGAATGTAGTGGAAGTACAAGAAATGGTAAGATACGAGAAGACTTTGTTATCCCGACGGAAAGAACCTGATAAAGTAGAGACTTGAAGAAGGCAGGATTAGCGAAAACTTTGCATATTGCCTAAGCAAACTCGGAGAATACAAGGGAACAGGAATATAAGCAAAAAGAAGACGACTAGACGAAGGTAATACTTTTAAGTTTATGAAAAGAAATTCCGAGTAGACGAAAGAGGAATAATCGGAGACCAAGAGAAGACGTCTGCAGTGGGTCTATTCAAACCAATTTGAGCTATCACATTTGAGGTCGGCACACAAGAGAAAGTCATAGACGAGGCATTAGGAATGGAAGAGCGAGAAAAAAGGTGGTGGCCATTTCCGGTTGACTATTGGTAGATATCTTTGCTCATAGGCGTGGCACATGAAGTAAAGGATTGCCCACGAGATCAACTTGGTGCACAGGCCAGGCAACGTCAAGTTAGGTTGCCATGATGATTGAGAATCTAGACTTTAGTGGCTTTATCGGTTAGGCAGAGTGTAGAACATGACGTGTTGAGCAGCACGGATACGGTGGCAGGATGTAGTGAAATCACTGAAACAGGCGGACAAGAGAAGGACTGTAAGGAGCAAGAGAGGACTCGGATTGGAGCTGAGGAGAGGGGATTTAGGATCAAACCGCAACCGTGGATCAGCACTCCCAGCACAGTGGGAGGGATGTGGGGACCAGGAGGGAGTGTGAATAGACTTCAAATATGTCCAGATAAACAAGTATGAAATTGTGATATTGAAGGGGTGATACGAGGATATGGGAGAGGTGAATAGCCCTGGACAGAAAGAGAGATAGACAACTGTTTAGCACACATTTGGGCAGAAGATCGACTTGATTTGTCTTTTTGACGAGTTGTAGAGAATGGTGTTGTGAATGGCAACACTCGCGGGCGATGTCAGAGAAACGTCTGGGAATGTAACAAGTTCAGGATCCGACTCTGGAAATGATCATGCATACTTTGGACTCCGGAAGAGATGCGTTCCCGCCGATCTTCCTACCAATGCGACCAAGTTGCGAAAAAATGTCAAACAGCTTCTATACAACGAAAGCAGACCGCAATTCTGGTCTACATATCTTCGATTAATTATCCTAAAATGGAAATATTTGATTGACAATTTGCAGGAAAATCAACAGTTGACGCTAACTATAAATATTCGAGA